TGTGTGTGTGTGTGTGTGTGTGTGTGTGTGTGTGTGTGTGTGTGTGTTCCCCATATTAAATATCAGCAGAAGGGAGGACTGGTGAATAAGCAGAGCAGCTTGAGGCGTATCGATCACACGCGAGGCAAGAGGTGTGTGTGTGTGTGTGTGTGTGTGTGTGTGTGTGTGTGTGTGTGTGTGTGTGTGTGTGTGTGTGTGTGTGTGTGTGTGTGTGTGTGTGTGTGTTTGCGTGTTTGCTGAGCGCGGGGAAGCATTCGATAAGTTGTCTATGAGGAGATCGTCCTTGTTTTTACTTTGTGTCTGAAGGGAAGAGATGTCGGCAGGTCCGTGTGTCTGATGGGGCTGATCGATTCACTCTCTCTCACACACACACACACACACACACACACACAGTTATATTACTGGTGTCAGTCATGGAAAGGGGCCTCTTTCTCTGTTTACACAGCATCGCTGCAAAGGACAGTTGTATCCGTCATCAGTGAGTCCAGGTTTCTCTTCACAGCTGTCGCTAACTGCAGCTGAAGACGGTGTTATTTCACATTATATAAATGTTGGGGAATATTTTCAGGACATAAACTAAATCGAAACTACCTTAAATGCTAAGAATTTGCGAACAAAACTTGACGTTATGACTTTTGTTCCGGCCAAAGCGTAGGTGTGCGTGTTGCACGTATGTTCCAGCTGAGGCCTCGGTGGCCCACCCGGAGCAGAACATGCCCTTAATCTAAGCATCCATTTAAAGGCAGCCAACTAGATGCTGAATGATTACAATGTAACAAGCAGTCAGCTGGCTGGAACAATTCCCTGCCTCACTCCTCCCCGCTCCCTATAAATGCACATATTTGTGGAGCTTCTGTGCCCCTCCGTCCCCAAATGAAAATGAGATTTGTCTCCTTTCGTTACATTGATACATTTTGTGTGTGCGTGCGTGCGTGCGTGCATGGCTTCGCACGGGGCAGCGTTAGTGAAATCTCTCTCTCTCTGTGTCTCTGATCCCAGATGGGTAATGATCTGGTCGCCTCCCGGGGCGTCCTCGTTCCCTTGCTCATTCCCCCGCAAGATAAATGAGCTCTCGCGCATACACACACACACACACACACACACACACACACACGACGCCTGAGACGCTCTTTCCCCTCCAAGATAAATGGCCCCTCCAATGCCGCCAATGCGATTGCTGCCAAATTTGGTGCTCCAGCTGGAACAATGCGGAGAGATTTCCATGTGGTTTCTGCAAATAATTGAATCTGTCCTCAATTTAGAAGTGATGAAGCTAGATTTCTGTCCTCCACATATGCACACACACACACACTGCCCAGTCGCTCTTTATTGTCGTCGCTAAGCCACATCCCTCTCTCTTTCTCTTTCCCCATTTCTCTTTACTTCCCGTCCTTTGTCTCAATTTTTCTCAGGCACATACAAAACGCCCCTCTCCTCCTCTCCCCTTCCCTTTTGCCATCTGAGACCAACACACACACAGGTCGGGCTGAGGCAGGGGAAATCAATAGTGACTTAAATGTTTTATCATGGTGTGTCAGTGTAGTTAAGGCCTCGGTTAACAGGGCGCAGCAGAGAATGATGCTCTAAAGGGATTTACCGCCGCTTTCTTCACAACACCTGCGCATAAGGGATTTATTCCTTTACCTGGTGGATGAAGATGTTTGCCAGGATATTGTGTTTTTCTTAGAATTAATTCTTATGTAATTTCATCATTTGCCTGTGTCTAGAGAGAGAGAGAGAGAGAGAGAGAGACCAAAATCAAGGTAGACAGTAGATTAAGACACGGGGCTGATTGAGATGGATGGCGGAGGTCCTCTGCTACACACAGACACACACACACACACACTAATGAAATGAGCAATAGCACCACACACATCGGGGACAGAGCGCTAAATAGAGGGGAGGCCCGGCCATCTATCTGTCTCTGTCAGGCTCCCCCGCTCGCTCGTCGCCACAGGGCCGAGTGGGGATGGAAACGCGCTGCAATTTCACTTCCTTTCACTCGCATACATGCACACGCCATTCAAAAAAGAAAAAAAAAAAAAAAAGCCCCGGCGGGCCTGTAACTAAGTTGGAGTAGCAGCACGTTGCGTGAGTTGTATTTCAGTATTGGTGCCGCTGGTTTTACGATGCCAGGTCTTCAGATCAAGGCCACGGCTTCGGCTGGGACCTACCGAGGCAGAGCCTCGTCCCACAGTGCAAACAGATGTGCAGTAAATATCTGTAATGGGGGGGACGGCCAAATACACTCAACAGAGAGTCCAAGACGTTAGTTATTACGTGTAGTTGTACGTTTTTCCATCTTGTTCCTACGGAAGCCCTGAGAGGCAAGTGAGACATTTTTTCTGTGTGATCCATTTTCTGAATCTGATCTAAATAGTTTTCTCTCCTGTGACTTAAGATCAGGTGAATAACGGTTTTGCCGGAATAAGTTATTTTTTTGGCAGGTGTGTTTGTTGTTGTAGTACTCATATCGGCCACAAGAGGCCTAAGTGCACCACTAAGCCATGCAATGTTAAAGGCCTGTTTGTGCACATAGCGCCTTGTTCTGGCATAACAGAGGGCGCTGGGCAGCGCTTTAACCCAGCGTATCTATGACATCACCATCGTGGTATGATAGACGAGCATCGATCCTGTGCTTTTTATTATCCATCTGTGCTCCCACATATTTGTTTTACATCGTTTTTTCACCGTGAGCATCAAGCGGAGGACGTCTGCTTCATACTTCGTATCGATGAGCTCTGAAATAAAGGCTTTTTTCATCCTTTATGATCGTGTCCGTCTGACGTATTGTAAAGTCCGATTTAGTTGTTCCTAACTTAAGCTACTGACACATTTTGAGAGCCATCAACCGTAACGCACCGTGAGACTCACACCGTTTGCTTATGAGCCCATTCATATATTGTCTTACATCGCTGTATCACCACCAATACCTGCATTCACACAACCTCGCAAACCCGGACCAGCACCAGATCCATGTGCGGTTCACACGTGTTAAAGCGGCGTAAATAACTCGACTCTCCCTCTGGGACCCGCACTCACGGGAAGTTGCTGCCACGACAGCTTAGACGGACGATGCTCATGCCTGACATTTTAAGGTCGTAACCCAAATGAAACGTTAGCTTCTTTCTGTAAGTCTACGTGACATGTTTGCCCAGCCCGGGTCCCAGAGCGACCTCAATTTTTATATATTTTTTGGCTCGCACGGCTGAAAAGGTTGAAAACCCCTGAGCCAGCTTAAACCAGTGAGTCACACAAACGGCATAAAGGGCTTAAACTCAAGGATTTCTCCTTGCTGGTTGAGAGGCAGTTTATCTCGCTGCGTGTCACATTTGGCCCCAGAGAGTTGTCTTTCCTCGGCACTGCGAAATCATCTCCTTTCTACCTCCATTAAATCTTTGCACCTCCCATTACAAACCCCCCCCCTCCTCCATCTCTATGTCCCGTTGTTTTTTTTGTTTTTTGTTTTTTTATAGCATTGGGAAATTAAACAACTTTTCAACTGTGGTGCTCTATAAACCAGCCGTGCTAAATGAATATTCATGATGGAGATAGGGTAGACAATAGAGAGGAGGCGGGAGAGGCCAGTGTTGTTGAGAGGAGAGTGAAACTTCTCTTCCCCCCTTTGGCAGAGTTTTGTGCTCCACTGAGTGACAGAGGGCTTTATTGGAGCTTTTAAAAGAGAGCGAGAGCCTGGTTTTAGGGACGAGCCCCATCCGGTCCCATCCAGCCCCGGAGCCCGCTGCCGCTTTATAAGCTAGCAGGCTAATCAAGGCTAAATGGCTTTTTACAAGCCCGGGACGAATAAGAGGAGAGGGTAAAGCGCTTTATAGGGCATGGAGTTGCGAGTCAGTCCAGGAGTCCCGACTAGGTCTTTATAGACACGGGACGGCGGCGGGGTTACAAGGGAGGAGTGGGAGCAGGTGAACAGTGTCCTGACCAGCCTCAGTAATGCACACGAAGGAAGGAGATATGAACCTCTATGAGCATCTTTGACATATCTAATCATTCCATTGTGTGAGGGATAATATCTGACGGATCTTAAGTCCTTCCACTATTGGATTGGGTGATACAGAAGGAAAGAACCATCATCTCAAAGCTATGAAGTTCAATTGTTTAGTCTAAATGTCTAAATATGAAAATACATTATAAAAACACGAAAGAAAAACTTCAAATCAGTTTGATGTTAAGCCTAGAAGTCTAGAATCTTTGAGACTAACTACACATTTTGTCTCGTCTCTCACAAAAACTCATGAAATCCGTTGGTCTGCTTATTACTAATAAGCTGTACGAGTTGGACAACCGCGAACATTAGGCTTCTCCGCTGAGCTTCACAGTGCAGCTCAACACTGGAGTGGTTGAAGAAGTCTGCCGATGGCCATGCCAACCCTGAAATGTCAAACTTTCACTTCATCTAAAGGAAGTAAAATGTGAATCTACTCCTTTTGCTTTCAGTAGAAATGGATTCACAGAAGCATGTCTCCTAACAGGAGAAAGTTCTACCTGTGCTGTAGCCTCTGCTGTTTGAGCATGCGGCAAATGAAGCCATATCCTGGGCCACACACACACACACACACTCGGCCACTTATCGTTCTATTCTGCTCTCGCCCTCTCTTCTCTCTCTCTCCGCTTGTCCTTCCCCATCCAGATCAATACCATAGATCAGCAAGCTATCAGGCTGCAAAATGACCACATCACCATAAACGCACACGCTCGCTCCCATTGTAACACACACACACTGATATTGCATCTCGCCAGAGAGCGAGCGGATGGCTATAATAAACACAGGCCGGCTCACGCGGCCTCGTCTCGCTGCGCCAAATCATCATCATCACCAGCAGCAGCAGCAGCGATGGCGGTCTGAGCGTCTCCCTATTGATTTAGTTATGGCTGCTTCATATGCTGTCGGACAGCGTTAAATGCACATTTTCTGCGATCGCGCCGCACATTAATCAGAGGCTGCTTAGAGGCAGGAAGAATAGGGAGGACGGCAGATAGGATGAGGGAGGGATGAAAGGACGCAAGGAGATAAATACAGGGGGAAGGAAATAAAACACGAGAGAGGACAGGGCCCTTTGCTTCAAGTCAAAACATTTTAAAAGATGGTGGGATTGAGCGAGGGAAGGTGGGCTAACGTTGTAAGTGTGTCTGATTTTACTTTGTCAATAGTTACACTCTGTTATAATGTCAAACATCTCTCCCTCTGTCGTTCCCCCCCACCCAGGGTGACGGAGGAGGAGTCCACGGCAACCACCATGGATGCTCTGAAGGCCCGAATCAGAGAGCTGGAGAGGCAGATACTGAGAGGAGACCGATACAAGTGTCTCATCTGCATGGTGAGTATGACTGTCTCGCAGTAGCATAGTGCAGATTATGGGTTTGTAGCAGAAGCTTGTTTCCCAAGAAGGATGCTGCTCTTGGCTCTGAGCTAAACAAACAGCTCCCTCCTCATATTCTCAAATCTGGCAACCTTCCAACCAGTTGCACCTTGTCCAAATCCAGTGGCTGGATCCTCATATTCTGCTTTGGAGGCCCCCCCCCCAATTTACTGTATATAGGACACAACCGCTGCAAACCGAAGTATCCCATAACTCACTGCACGTTGGGCGGTTTTAGAAAAGAGGGCTTGGTCTTCAGATTCTTTTGAAGGATCCACAGTCCCTGTAGAGGCCCAACGTCAGTGTAAGTCACCCGTTGTAGTTCTGGTCACTCTTTTTCTTTTCACATATTTTATATTGTTATTAAAGCGAGAAAGCTGAATTGAAGTGACCAGATCACAGATCTCGTGATTTTTCTTGTTCCACCCTTTGGCAGCAGTCTCTCATATGAAACGGTGTGAAAGTGTTGTTGAGGTGTCCATGTAGGGAGCTGTCTGCACCTCATTCCCCTCCGTTGCGGATGTCTTAAGCAGCTCTCTGTGAGTGTGCGAGTGCTGCTGTCGCGTTGCTGTTGTGTTGGTGGTGGTTTCCTGCTCTTGCATGGCTTTTGCGAGTCAAAGTGAATGTGTGGCGGGACGGGAGACTCCAGTAGGAAATGCAGAACCGAGCTGAGATGCATTCATGGACAGGCAGCACATTTAAGACATTCTATCCAGAGTGTGATGTACAGGTGATTGGAGCTCAATAGTATCAGCCACATGTTCATCCTCGACAATGACGGGCAGAATGAGGGACACTGTCAATATTCATGTTCATCAGATACATACAGACCCCCCCCACATGTCAGAGTTTGTGTTCCCCGCTTTGTGTCAAGCACCCATCCTGTCATCCTCCAAGCTGCAGTGCGGCGTCGAGCACACAAGCATCCCGTGCGTGCTTTTGTGTGGGGGGGGGAAAGCGGGTAATTACCGGCGCATCCTAAAGGTCGCCGGGTGCCCGAGGTGACATGGAGGGCAAGGCACAGCGATCGATCACTCACTGCCCCCCCCCGGTGGACGCAAGGCTCTCATCCGTCACTGTCCCTCATCTCTCACTCACAATGTTCTCTCTCACTCACAAACACACACACACAGGCGTCTTACTTCTAATCTGTCTTTGTCCATCCCTAACTCGTCACCGAG